TTTTGGTCAGTTGTGGGGCCTGAACTCAGCCTGGGCGCTGTCCCTCAGCTCTTCAGATCAAGGCTAGTGCCCTACCACTTGAGCCACAGTGCCACTTCCGCCTTTTTCTGCTTATGTGGTACTAAGGAATCAAACTCAGGGCCACATGCATGCAAGGCAAGCAATCTACTACTGAGCCACCTTCCCAGCCCCTCTGTGTTCTTTTTTTTTTTTTTTTGCCTGTCCTGGGACTTGAACTCAGAGCCTGACACTGTCCCTGAGCTTCTTTTGCTCAAGGCTAGCACTCTACCACTTGAGCTGCAGTACCACAGCTGTCTCTTTCTGTTTATGCGGTACTGAGGAATCAGACCCAGGGCTTCATGCAATCTAGACAAGCACTCTACTACTAAACTACATTCCCAGCCCAACTCTATTCGTTACATTATATATGGTGTATTCACGTGCATATCTGTGGGAAGGGGGAGGGAGGAGGCCCAGAATCAGAAGACAAAGGATGAAAAAGTGCAGCAGTGGAGTGCACTGGACATGGATGAAAGTCAACTATGGGACAGAGGGAATGGTAGAGAACGAAGGGACAGATGACACTGTATAAAAGGAAATGTACTTAATACCCTGCTATATATAACAATAAAGTAAATTAGAAAAAAAAGATGTTGCTTTGTTTTAAACATGTGAAATTACAATGGGGTTTAAACTTGTGTTGGCAGGAGCTATTTGCCTGTTGTGTCAGCTACTGTCAGTGATAAGGCAGGAGGAGGATCACTTTGAGCCCATGGGTTTGAGATTAGCTGGGCAACAAAGTGAGACCTTGTCTCAAGACAAAGCAGAAGAGAACCATGTGCCTTTAAACCACACCGAAGTTTTATTTTTTATTTTTGGGTTCGATCGTGGAGCCTGAACTCTGGGCCTGGGCACTGTCCCTCACCTCTACCACTTGAGCCACAGTACCACTTCCAGCCTTTTCTACTTATGAGGAATCGAACCTAGGGCCTCATGAATGCAAGGCAAGCACTATACCTCTTCCCAGCCCTATTTTGCTCTTCTTTTATGAGTTGAAATTACGTATGTTCATAATGTACATTTAGATAATACCATAATCCCATGAAAGCAAAGACATTTCAACTTAAGTACTATAGATACAAACAGGTAAAACAGGAACGTTTCACTTTTCACAATTACGAATCAGTTTCACGGTCACATGGATTATATTCTTCTGAGTTGAGGAAAACAAGCCCAGGGAAGAGAGCTGCCGTGAGCTTCTGTGCGTCATGTAGTGGGAGAGAGAATGTGGCTTCTGCGGCTCTGCACATGAGCCGCACACAGATGCCCTGAGCACCAAGTGCTTCTGCCTTTACACTTTTCCCTTGTGTCATCTAGACCAAGGTTGTGCCGTCTCCCCCCTGCCCCCATTACTTTATTGTTGTTTTAGAGGTGATATACAGCCAAGTTAATTTTACATATGTCAGTAATAAGTACATTTCCTTCTGTATAGTATCATTGTTCCCT